AAATTATTTAGTCATGGGCTTTTAACGGGCACAACGGTAAATGCATGTTAAGTAAATGATGCAATTTATTCCCTTCTCCTCATTGCCAGGCTTGCTGCCACGGGACTTCTGCCAGCTTTAAATAAGTGGTACCCAGATGGTATTCACATGATGCCCACTTGGTTACAAAACGGTCCTGGGGAATAAAGCTGACTGCCACAACAACCAGTGGGTCAGCTGGTGATCCTGTTGCTTTTGCACTCTGCATGTGCAAATGGGTTAATGTTGTATCACTTTGCTGAATTCTTTGGGAAGGTTGTATCTCAGGGGTCCTAAATGAATTGGAAAAGACCCCGTTAATGAGGAGGGTGGGAAAGAGAGACAGGGGAGAGATATTCTCTGAGTCTGTTTTTTTTTCCTCTGCTAATGTGTTGGGCTTCTCGGCTCCTCAGAAAGGAGAGAGGGAGCAGGGAGAATGATGACCAGTGCCTCCTTCTCTCCATGCTTTTTGCAGTCTCCCTCCTGCTCTGCAGCTGTGCTAGTCTTTGGGCTGGCTGTCTCTCGGAGAAGTGGTGAACTGTGTCATCTCCAGCCACTAACAACCAACAGCTGCAGCACCAGCCACCGCTGCAGATCGAGGGACAATGTGGAACTGATTTTCTAACGCAGAGAAATAAATAAACAAAGACCCAGAAAAAAAAGAAACAATACCACAAACAACACACAGCTTATGCAAATGCTGGGGAAATGTGTTCGCGAATCGATAAGCCCTATTTGTGTACGAAGAGACTATAGGACAAGAGTGACCATTTTACACAGAGATGCACATTACTAAGTTTGCTTTTTTATCTGCAGTAGCTACCATCAACATCTGTTTAGCTTTTTTTCCTCCTCTACAGAATATGTTAAACCCACACATTATGATGAAACACAAACTATTTGTTGTTGAGTTGTGACATGAAACAACTCAGAGGTGGGGAGCGTGTTTTTTGCTGTGTTGTATGCATGACACCAGATGTCCGAGGCAAAGTTTTAGTCATGTGGTGGGAGAGGGGTCAAACTGTCAGTAGGTTAAAGGTTGAACAGCACAAAAAAAAACTGCAGCACCCACACAGTTAATTAGAGATGGGAGAGGTCTTTTACTTTGGCTCCAGTTTCGCTGCTGTTGTTTTGAAGTTGATAGTAAAATATGAGAGTTCTGTCAAAGTCTGTTGCGAGACTTTACTTTTTCTTTTTTGAAATATGTTTTTTTTCCATGAATGAAAAATGAAATCTTTACAGCTCATCCCATTGTTTAGCTTTTTCTCCCAGTCACCTTGTAATTGTTTCTGTGTCATAAGCAGCTATTAGTATTGCTAGAAAATGGTAATGCTTTGAGAGACTCATCTCTTACAGAGAATGGCTCTCTATCACACTCTCACATTCTTTTAAAAGGGAAAAGGAAGATGAATTTTGCCCATAAAGGCTGTATCACAAGGGCTTTTTATCCTAAATGGCTCTGGGGATTGTTATCTGTGGGAAGTGTGTCCTGCCTCCCTCGTGTTCAATCAAGTGTCCACTTAGCTGTGACTGGGAGTAATTGTTCCCAAGTGGGCCACACACTGACCTGTTAATGTCTGCGTTGACCCTCTAACCTTGTCAGCACGTCTTGGGAAGGAGTTTAAATCATGTGGATCTCCTCCGTGTCTATACGCTACCGGGTCAAGTGGGCGTCGGCCCTGAAAGACCACTCTCTTGTAATTGTCCTCAGCAGTATGGGTCAGCTCGGGGTGTTCCCAAAGACCGGCTCTTATTAGATGAGGTACTGGGAGTGGTGTGACTTAATGGGTCAAGCCATTGATCTGATACAGCACCAGTGTCCCCCAGCACAGTCGTAGTCTCTATGATACCTGGCTTGAGTGAGTGTGAGGTGGGCTACACTGGAGATCCATCTCATTTCTTGTTTATGTGTGGCTTATTGTGCCCTGCGCCTTTTTCACTCTCAGATCTCCCTCGTTTTGATGAATTCGAACAGGTTACACAAGTTCCTTATTGTTATTCCTGGTGTAATATAACATCACACCACAACATAGATTTAAGGCATCATGCATACTGTATATGTTAAGTATTGATGCCCATGCAATGAAGGGCTACTTAGCTCTAGATATCATAGAGACGAGTGCCAAAATTCTCAGAGGGGCACAGAGATTGCTCTTCCAGATTTGGCTTTGGCTCCTGTCTCCTATGAAACAGCCTTGGCAACACAAACTGATAGAATATGAGATGCTAAGAGAGAATAATGGTGCTGCAGAAATGTATTTATGAATGAGGATAGTAATGTAAAAATGAGCAAAGGTCGTACAACAGCATATACTTGTAGCTTGTGAATGCACTCAGTCCAAAACACATACGTATGCATATAAATGTGGGTTAGGTGTTGAAGGTGAGTAAAAGGTCAAGGTGATTATTTTAGTTTGCATCTAAAATTGCTGAAAAAACTCACTCACGTATAATATATAGTTAGACTTCCAGCAGCCTTATTGATGACAGAGCCATTGTTTGGATCTGAGTGACTATCATTCAGGGAGTTTATGTTCATCAGGGGGGATGAAGCCGAGAGTAGCAAACAACAAAGACGATATGAAACAAACATTTTATATGTTTTTTGTGTGTTAGTTATCAAACGTGCAGCAGGTGACCCATGTTCATTTTTCTACCATAAACCATCATATAGCACCTGCTGCATGCTAATTTCTGATCCCACTCATACTCCTCAACAAGGACGGACAGCTTCAAATACCTGTCTAGATTGCCTGGAAACTCACAAATGAGTGTCAATTAACACACATGCTGCAAAGTGGCTCAAAGTGGAGTTTTTCTTCAGAAACTGACATAGTTTGTAATTTGAGTGAAAAGGGGGATTACAACCACATGTTTCTAGAGTAGGAGTGAGCTGAGTGTTGAGCAGCTGGCATGCAAAAGGCCACAAAGTGAGAACGCTTTACTGCTGGAGGTGAAAATTTTGAACTTTAATGTTGGCGTCTTAGCATGCAGTATATCTTTAAGTGTTTGGTTGTTTAGTCTCTTTTATGGACAGACTACACCATAAAACGTAACCACTTTTTCATTAGTTCTCATTAATTTGCAATAAAGAGCCAAAATCGGAGCTACCTCTTAAGTATATGCACTCCCATGCTATTTTAACATCCCTTTTGTGAGACCGCACATAAATCCCATCTCTTCTGAATCTTCTCATCAAGCAGTTTTTATAAAGCGTGAGTAAGATGTATGTTGGAGACATGGCAGCAAGCTTGGCTGAAGACACTGAGTGCCCTCTGTCGCTGATCCCAAAGTGAGGGGACCTTTAAAAGCAAGCTCCTTTTGAGGGGCATGGAGATAGAATAGTGCAGCCATAAATCCATGGGGAGGGGAGGGGGGGTTGTCTTGTGGGATCAACATATTTTTGGGAGTAATGACAGGCATGCAACCGAGTAATCAGAAGGGTCTTATCTGGGGCCGATGGTAGGCCCAGGAATGTGGACAGGCTGTGGAAACAACGGCTGCACTAATGGGGTTAGTTGAATTCCACACTGCTGAATTATGAGGAGTTGGGACATTGGGGGCTACGGTTTGTTGTGTCTGGTTTGGAGAGCTACACCGCTACACACAGAAACAGAGTTATAGATTTGGTTTTTGACACGCTTTCACATGGAGCAGGCCAATTAACTGGGAGCTGAATTGCTTTGCTCTGCTGCGGGAGACACAGCCACATTAAACAGCAAAGTCGTACACACATATATCATGGGGCAACAAGCCACACATGCAGCCATGACTTCTGTGACAGGGACAAAACCAGAAGCCATCCATTCTGCTGCCTCATTTGCATGATCTGAACCGTATGTGGAAGTCATTAGCATCTTTCCACTTGTTTATCTGGCTACAGATGAATGCTTTTGAGCTTAACGCCAGGTTTTTGAATAAACAAAATGTCCGTCCTTGTTTCTGATGTTTTTGTAATGGTACTAGTCATTCATCATTTATGTAAAGAAAAAACCATGTAATATTCTAAATATTTGTTTTATTACTAAGGTGGAGACAACTGCAGGGCTGGCAGGTCACTGTTAATGTAAATGCATTCTCCAGAGCAAACACACTTGTCAGATTTTCGTTGGTTTGGCTTTGCAGCCTGTTACAGTGCTTAAGTCTCTCCTCGCATCACATTTATATTGTTAGCATGGTAGCAATTTCATTTTCATATTTTACATGACGGTGATTACTCTCATGTTTTTGCATTTTTCTTATTGAGGAACTTTAAGTAGAAAAAAAATACAAATTGTAAATACTGTAGTCTGTAGTATTCAATTGTTTTAATGCAATTCAGCTATTATTCTGTTCATTTTCTGTCTATGATTGACATCACATGCAGCCATCTGAAATGATTGCAGCGTGTTTTTATGTGGGCTGTCACAGGTTAATAAAGGGCAACTTTATGACTGTTCATGTGTTAAGGTGAGAAATGAACCGCAGAGGCCGGTTACTGTGATGCAAACAGTTTTGCTAATATTTTTACATTTTGTTTCTGTCGTAGTTGCTTATCTGCATGTTCAGATATGAAAAGGAGATAACTTGATATGCATGTAGGCCAGGAGATGCCAACAGGAATCGGTGTGTCATAACGAATCAAATACTTGTGGCTGACGACGATCACGTTTACTTTGCCAGTTCTTATGTCATTTCTGTACATGTGGGCTCAGTGGACAGGGGCTTTCCCCACCTTTCACTTCCTGTTTGTAATCGTTGTATCTTTCCCCTTCCTTCCTTCTCTCTTTCTCTCTCTCTCTCTCTCTCTCTCTCTCTCTCTCTCTCTCTCTCTCTCTCTCTCCCTCTCCCCCTCTCTGTCTCTCTCTCTCTCTCTCTCTCTCTCTCTCTCTCTCTCTCTCTCTCCCTCTCTCTCTCACTGTCTCTCTCTCTCTCTCTCTCTCTCTCTTTCGCTCTCTCCCTGTTTGTGTCCTCTCTGAAACCCCCGTGATCCTGCCCTCAAGAGTGTGAGCTGAATTCTGATTGGAGGAATGGAGTGCCAATCTGTCCTGCACCAGTGATCAGGGTATGTGGCAATCCTCCCACCAACCCTTCTCTTATTTCATACAGTAATGTAATGTATGTGCTGTAAGTCTGTGAAATGACTCCAAAACACTGTTAGATTTGACTACTAGGCGTATGTATATCAGACCATAACTAGTTTGAAGCAGATCCAAACAGATTTATTCTGAGCTTTTCATCAGTTTTATTCTTCAGCTGTTTAGTGAGCATGTGTATGAATGAGAAAGACACAAATAGTAAAATAGCACAGAATAGAAAATATATTGACCAAATATTGCAATTATTTTGTATAAATAAAACTACTTGTTATTTGCGTAGACTGGTTCCAGGCCCCTGAATTGTTGCTGACATGTCAAATTTTTGCCAGTGATTTCATGTGCTCTTGCACATGGCTGTTATCCCAGTTTAATATCAGCAGAGCCAATCGGGCTACTTCACAGCCCCCAGTCCTGGAGGTCCTGATTCAGAGCTTTTAAATGAGTTAGCCTAAAACAATGATACAATATTCTTAATTTGAATAGAAAATCCTGACAAAGATTCATTTTAACTACTCCAGCTAGCTGCTAACTAGAGTACCTGTCTGAAAATGAGGTAATGATTAGAAATATGAACCACTCTGTCTTTTTTCACAACACAAATAATACAGAAGTGATGTTACTTTCTGTAGCTACTGTCGTATTTTTAGGCAACATTTGTAATTTCATGTGCTGGTTTCTAGCTAATACTTTAACCTCTTTACAGTGTTTTAAGATGACCTTTTTTTATAATTGTCAATCGGTCGATACACAGAATAGTAATAGCAAACTATATATTATAATCAATTAATCAATACATTAATAAAATAACTGTTAGTTGCAGCCGTAGTGGGCTATGATTAAAATGGAAAATTTAACTTTTTCAAGTCATGTTGATATAAAAAGGATTATCCAGAACACTTAAAGACCTTTGTCCTCAGGGTGTGGGATGAGTGTTTCTGTTATGAATGTAACATGCAAAGAGGGTCCTTATTAGTCTTTGCATCTTTTTTTAGTATACTATTAATACAGTATGGCAAGGGAAGGGTATTTTCAGGTTAAACTCCAAGGTCATTTGTCTGCATCATTCATTCATGTCGTTAGAATTTGGTTTTATAAATATATGAACATGATAATTAGTACACCAATATTAGCCATCTGAAATGTACTACTACTTCTACTACTACTACTAATTATAATGATAATAATGATAATAAAGTAAATTTCACGGCTGAAATCAATTAAATATTTGACAACCGTTCATACAGCATATTGCCCTCTGGCTGAATGTTGCACTGTCAGCTGCTGTGTGTTCATGACTCTCCTTTGTTTTTTAATATCTTTGGCGTACTGTAGTCTTTTTGTCCCTCTGCTCACCTCTGTCTGCCCTGGGAGCCCTGATTGGCTGAACACTTTCTGCACTATAGTCTGGCTGCTTGCCAGCCATGCTGCCAGTGGCTGCCGTGCCCCCTGATCAGAAGAGAATGTGACATTTGTGCAGAGGTAATGGAATCTGCGTGCAATTAAATCTCTGACTGTGAAGAGGAGTCTATCTCCTCCCCGCTTCCCCCATCTCCTGCCATTCCCAGCAGCAGGGGGGGTCAGGCGTGATGATGAAACCGTCCCAGCAGGCCCATCGCCGCACTCTCTTTCCCAATCTCCATGTCAGGTTGTGTTTTTTTAACTTTGCCGCACTAGCCCTGCCTCTATCTGGCAATTAATTACAGAAAACGTCCATTAGGAATCTCTCCAAATATTGTATAAGAATTAATATTTGGTTAAAAAAATTACATTACCAGGCAGCAATGTTACCAGAGCTTTAATGAATTCTGCTGCAGGTGACAGTTGTTATTTTGTAGTGAGTGTTGTTGGGCTGTTAAACATGCGTTGATAATTTTTTTTTCTTTATGGGGGAGTGGTAGAGCACAAGGCAGAGAGGAAGAAAGCAAGGCAGAGGGCAGATTCATGCATGGATGAGAAGAGGGTCATATCTCTGCTCCTCTTTCTCTGCTGCCCTGCCACTACACTTAACGCCTCATTTGTGGGCTTTGTGGCCAATGGCTTGAGTCTGTGATCTGTTGCCATAAAAGGCAGCTTTTTCCTCTCTGCTGATGGGGCACTTGCTTGTGGGTTAATACCAGACCCCTCTATAGGCAGACTCACATCTAATGGATATGTGTATCCCCATCAGGATAGCTCATAAACATAAAACTCTCTGCTGCCATTGTACTTGGTGGAGCTGGTTGGGAGGGACAGAGCCACGCCATGCAAGCATTTCCCTTGAACTTGTGTAGGAGTAGTTCCTATCTGTGTTCCTCGGCCACACTGGGTGGACGGAGGTGCAGGATATCCAGATCAAGGTTTGGCTTAATCCTCCCTGTGTTGCTCACACCCTGTGTGGGTCTGTCTAAATGGCACAGTCTGAGTCCCTCTGCAGTTTAGCCACTGGACATGATATTCAACATGAATATTAAATGGAAATGTATGTTCCAGTTCATTTAAAGAATGAAAGATCACACTTTATTTTCCAAATGCTGCTGCCGAATGTCTGAACCCTGCTTTAATGTGAGTATTTTTCTGTCACGTTGGACTCTTTTTTTTCATGTTCACTTTCCCTGGTAATGTCTTTTGTCATGATGAATTATTAATGTCACTGTTGGTTGAAGGGAGCGTTGTCTCAGAAAATAAGAGGGTCACTCTGTTTCTTCTTTTTTCTGCAGCCAAGGGTTAATATGAACCAACAATCAAATGAACCTCCCCATTTCCTCGCTGCTCTGTGAAAACTGCTGGGTCTTAACTTTATTGACTAACATCCTGCTTGACAAATACAAAGCTATTCCTCTTGGCTCTCTCTGTTTTCCTCTGTTTTGCAGATGGCTTTGTGGCGTTGTGTGATACAGAGAAAAAGGCTTTGCTCGGGGAAGGAGAGAGAAAGAGGCTTACTCCATTAGTGTCATTCGAATGGTGAATTAGATCAGTCTGACAGATAGATGCGGAAAATTGTTTTAATTGTATAATTATCTGTGGTTAGCCACTTGTGCGGAAAAGTGCGGTGATGTGGGTGAAGGCCAGGGAAGAGCACATTTTGGCCTTTATGTGGTTATTTTGTCTTTGCACAGGAAATGAACAACAATCGGGGGTCCTGAGGATAAAACACAAACACACCCAAACTCGCAGACACACACACTCGCCCCTGGGCAGGTTAAGACGTGCTGAGTGAGATGCTGCCCTTTAAAGTAATGTGTCTGGCCAGTGAGTCCTCTCCTCGGGTAAAGAGGAGGATGCCTGTAACCATCTGAACAAGATGGCACAGCTTTGCACAAATGTAACAGCTATGTGGAATGTGACTCGTTTAACACTACTGGCGCTCTGAAGACAGAGAGAGAGAGAGGCCCCATATATCATTAACTCTCTTAGTCACAATCAGCTGATTTCTGAAGAGATGTAAACTGCAAGACTACGGACAGATGGCACTAAATCTTTGGCTTTACATCTGTCAGTTGCTCTGTGCTTTTTTTAAAAATTCTTTTTCTGCAAAACATTCCCATGAATGAGTTTGCATGAAGTGCTGATCTTCACTGCCAATTTGGCTGGAAAATAATAATAGCTATTATCTCCCCGTTTCAAACAGTGAGGAGTTATTTTACTAACCCTTTACTTTTTGTTGTATACAAAATGTTTAACTGCCAGACTAATTTAGCTTATAGTCTTTTTTCCCCCAGATTATTGTTTTTATAGTTTTGAATAAAAGCACTCTCACATTGCATCCTTTGCCCAAAGAATGTCATCACTGTTAAAGCAGCAAACTGCTTAGAATTAAATATTGCTGCTGCTTTAACAAAGGTCGTGTGTATGGATGTTTTGTATGTTCCTCTGTTCCTCCAGTCGACTAATATTTTGCCAGGAAGGAATTTGTTGATTTAATTGGCAATTTTATAAAATATTTATCACCCTCTTCAGGGCCCTGAATTATATAAAAATGTAAAATATGCAAATTTATATTTTGATTTCAATGATCATGATGAATGAACAAACAAGCATGCATACAGAAAGCATGTAGATGTGGCTTATAGCAGATCTGAGTGTCTTATTCTTTTGACAGATCAGTTACTGGATGATTTTTCAAACCTGGTGGGCAAAGCTGAGCCCAGGCCAAACACTAAATGCTCTGCAGTCAGCAGCTGCATTCAGTTTTCAGCTCAACTCATTCAAGTGTAATAAAACAATGCAAGAAATGCTGGAGAGCTGTGGGCCTGGATGCTCTCACTCTTAAAGGAAAAGTTGCAATGGAGGTGCTGCTGTATAAATTCCCTTCACTGAATGGTTGTTTCTGTTCCTGGTTTTGTCTATTAGCAGAAACGTTTTGTTATATAATACTCAGGTTGGTTTGTCGTCACAACAAGCAGGCCTTAATCAAATACACTCCGAGCCAGTCTGATGAGAGTCTTGCAACACAAAGCAATTTATGGACTTGAGAGCTTGTCATGTCTCAGTTGTTGCCTTCGTCATGCTCTGTTGTTCAGCTACATCTCCTGTGATAATGCACAGGGGATTAGCAGGTAACAAGGCAGCAGCGCTCCTCTGAGGATGTTGCGCGTGGCTTTGAATGTCTCGCACAATACTACATAAACAGAAGGGGAGTACCACCAAATGGTGATTTCCCGGCTGCACAGGGAGCCTCCTCCTGGATAATGTGGTAATGAAAGGTGACAGGAAGGACTCAGGGTCTGGAACGAAGCCGGGGCAGCTGGTCAGAGCAGGAGAATAGGAAGCAGTGTGCACCCGGGCTAAAGTGCAGCGAGAAGCAAATTAAAGCTCATATCTGCCATCTCCCTTGCCTCCCTGCACTTTCCTGTTTGGACTTGAAGGTGATTGGGAGCCAAGGCGGTGACAGTTGACGGAAGCTACGCGGAGGAGAGAGTATTTATTTACAGTGAGATGCAGCGATGCTTGTTCAGGATGCGGTTTCACGCAGGATGTGCCCCCCCCC